CCCCCCCCCCCCAAAAAAAATAATTCAAGCTAGCAAGCTGTGTTTTTACCGAATCTGGGACACCGCGACCTCTTGCAGGTTCACTGTGGTTTTCTGCACGTCATCTCATGGTTAGAGGAAAATCTCTGTTTTCAATGTGGACACTTTTCCAGTGAAATTGGTTTACATGTAGGTCACCGACAGCCCTGAAGTGAAGTTCAAGGGGCAGTACCGAGTCAATCAGATTTTGGGCCTTCCCGTGACCCACTTTGACATGCTTTTGCTGTCATTGAAAGTCAGAGCAATGTAACTGGGGTAATCCATTTTGAAATGGCGAAAGAATCACAGTGTTTATTGAAATAAAAATGCCTTTTGTGATTTTGACCAACAGTTCACAGTCAAACCGATACTCTGCACTTCTGCACACCAAACTGATCTCTGTGAAGTGGCTGCCAGCAGCTAACCTATCCGCCGAGTTTAGAGCCGAAATGAAGCCGGCCGCTTTCATTGCGTTTTTATGTTGAATTTGCTCTGCTTGATGTGCCGCACGTATAATCTCCCCTCCCAAAGGTAGATTACAGCCAGTTTTGCTTTCAGCTTTAACATTTATTTTCTATTGTTGCCTCGCTCCTCAGAGTCGCGGCTTTATCGAAAATAAACCGCGGCTGAGCCCAAAGTCACTCATGCAGATACTACGGATTACATCTGAATGCCAAATAACAATCGTGGCGCAATTAACAGCGAAGGTAGGTTGACAGTTATACGGGGCTGTCGATGCACCTGAGGAAGCCATAGATTCCAAACAATTCAAGTAATTTCTTTCAAACTTGTAAAATGAATGTGCACCGTATAACATGAGCTCCCGTATGCAAGTTAATAAAAGAGCGTGATAGTATTGTATTTTCATTCAGGAAGGCAGCGCTTCATCGCCATTCCTTAGACCAGGATTGTGCAATGCAGATGCAATTACCTGACTGCAGATCAAAGCTTTGTAGCTAAATGCTTGCATCAGATCCACCATGGGGCACTATCACAAGGGTCAAACTTCAAACAACGTTTTACTGACACACTGACTATCAGCTCTTGTTGCTCTGATTGAAAGCCCTTCAAAGCACAGCGCCGGAGAAGGAGCCATTTAATTCATTTACTCGGCTGCCATTAGGATGCCATTCAGCTTTCCTTTCAGACCCGAAATGCGTCATTCCGGGTCATAGAAAAAACAGTGTATGGAGAAGGAGAAGTTTTTAATGGCCAAGTAAAAATGCTGTAACTCACAGAGGAGAAGCGCGAGCAACAATATAGCTTTACGTTATTTTTAGAAACACGTCGCTGTCATTGAACGTAAAAGTGCGGCTGTTGCCCTCGGATGGCTGCGTGACAATTACACTTCCAAATATAAA